TCAGAGTTTTCCTTCTCCTGGATGGGCTAGGTTGACAAACCCCACATGCCCCTCACTTCCCACTACAGCAGGTGCTTCTTGACCATTGGATCCACTATTGAACAAAAAATATTGCGTAATAAATACAAATAAAACCTCTTCATCTAGAATGTGGGGAACCTGTGGTCCTCCAGGTGTTGCTGAACTACATCTCCCATCATCCCTATGCTGACTATGACTGATGGCAGTTGGAATCCAACATCATCTAGAGAGTCACATGTTCCCAACCCCTGCTTAGAACATAGAGGTGTAAATCAAGGTTGGTTTCTTTTCTTTTTTTAAAAGATATTTATTAGGATTTTCAAAATATTACAAAAAAGAAAAAGAAAAATACAAAATAAAAGTAGTTAAAAACAATTCAGTCTTTCAATCACTTATCTTTCATTTGCTTATTTCCCGGACCTCCTCACGCCTCCCTTTTGTGTATTCCAATTCAGTTTGTTAGTTCAGCAAATCCCTCCCCTCTTTGTTTATCCTAGTCTTCAATCTTAAAGTATTGTAACATTAGATTTTTGCCTATTAATAATCCATTTTTTCATATTCCCTTATAACATTACAGCTAAAAACCACTTAATTTCTATCCAACATCATTCTAACATTCATTAATTTTACAATATTTCTGTAGATAGTCTTTAAATTTCTTCCAATCTTCTTCCACCGACTCTTCTCCCTGGTCTCGGATTCTGCCAGTCATTTCCGCCAGTTCCATATAGTCCATCACCTTCATCTGCCATTCTTCCAGGGTGTGTAGATCTTGTGTCTTCCAATACTTTGCAATGAGTATTCTTGCTGCTGTTGTGGCATACATAAAAAAAGTTCTGTCCTTCTTTGGCACCAATTGGCCGACTATGCCTAGGAGAAAGGCCTCTGGTTTCTTCAAGAAGGTATATTTAAATACCTTTTTCAATTCGTTATAGATCATCTCCCAGAAAGCCTTAATCCTTGGGCACGTCCACCAAAGGTGAAAGAATGTACCTTCGTTTTCTTTACATTTCCAACATTTATTATCGGGCAAATGATAGATTTTTGCAAGCTTGACTGGTGTCGTGTACCACCTGTATATCATTTTCATAATATTCTCTCTTAGGGCATTACATGCCGTAAACTTCATACCTGTAGTCCACAACTGTTCCCAGTCAGCAAACATAATATTATGTCCAACATCTTGTGCCCATTTAATCATAGCAGATTTCACCGTTTCATCCTGAGTATTCCATTTCAACAGCAAGTTATACATCTTTGACAAAATCTTAGTTTTGGGTTCTAACAGTTCTGTTTCTAGTTTTGATTTTTCCACCTGGAAGCCAATTTTCTTATCCAAATCGTATGCCTCCATTATCTGATAATAATGAAGCCAGTCTCGCACTTTGTCTTTTAATTTCTCAAAACTCTGCAATTTCAATTTGTCTCCTTCTTGTTCCAAAATTTCCCAATATTTCGGCCATTTGGCCTCCATATTGAGCTTTTTCTGAGCCTTTGCTTCCATCGGTGACAACCACCCAAGGTTGGTTTCCCTGTAGTTCACATGGATGTGGCTTGCATCTCTAAAAACAAACAAGATAAAGTTTCATCATACAGACAGAAAACATTTCCCTTCCTATTTATGTTCTTTAGGCCTCGTTCCATGTTGTGACACGTGGTTGTTGTGTTTTTTAAAAGAAACTTAACTCTATAGCATTATGTATAAAATGCATTTTTAACAATGTACTTGTCTACTCGCCCTACTGCTTAGTCCATTGTGTTCAATGGGGCTTACTCCCAGGTAAGTGGCTATATGATTGCTGCCCAAAACAGGTTTATTAAAGCTTTATTCCCTAAATACTTTGATTTATATTTTGATTCGACTGATATAGAATATTAAGTTTCATCTGTTCTCTTCTACATGCATTTAAAAAATGTTATGTTTCTTATTATGTGAATCTGAACAAAATGAGCTGAAAGTGAAACTGACATTATACACTACTGAAGGAGCAATAAAAGGAAATAAAGATCATATGCAATAACACTGTACCTTTATCACAAATATATAAAATTACACTAAAACTACAAAGGAGCAAAAGGTAAAAATTATCCCATCACAGCACTTTGTTGTTGTTGTTTTATTTCAGAGTTTTATGGTTTTCTCATTAAGAGTTTGAAACTTGCTGTAGATTATATACAAAGGATGGTTCTATGTTATTTGAGGAGGTTATTGCTTTTAAATTACATTCTAAATAGGCAAACAAAATGAATACAGGTTTAATGTGGTCTTAATTCTATCTAGCAAGCTCCAGTCTGGATAATGTTCGTTAGCTCAGGCTCAAAGGGGTGTTTTGTGGCTGCAAGTGAATAAATAAGTAACTGAATGGGAAGACTCAAAATGTATAGTTGTTAATTAAAAAGCATATTTGCCATTATACATCCTGTGGAATATGTTCCCGTTTTAATATTTTATCAATTGAAATGTAATATATACAGATGTTCATATATTCACTTTTTCTTTCCCTTGTCTCCTCCCCCTTCCCTGCTGCCACCAAAAGAAAAAAGTTTATTCTGCTTTTTCTCTTACCTACTTGTGGTTAAGTGATAAAGTATTTAAGAACTCGAATGGTACCAATGCTACTTTTCCATTCACTATCAGTTTTGTGCAGTTGAAACTTTGGACAATAGTCTGATTCATTTTTTAAAAATCACAGCCACTCATGACTTAACTAAATTTCTGCTTAGGAAAAATTGCCAATGGGTGGTGTGGCAAGCAGATATGGAACTGATGACAGTAATTGGAATAGTTGAGCCATGTATCTTTCTTTCACCTTTTTTCCAGTGCAATGGTTGATGGCTTCTTAATCCACCCGATAAAGACTGGTCTGTTCAGCTTGGGAAAGTTTTTGGCAAATGTAACATAGGCTCCAAATCTATATCTCATTGAAATTTGAATCTCATTGAAATCCCAGCCACACAACTGTCTGATGGATTGTGCCCTCAGACTTGTCATAAACCAGCCTTGGTAATAAAAGGTACATTGCATACTTGTTGCTGCTACATCTTGAGCTCACATGAACAATGGTTCCATTCTGATGTCTGGCTCAATGTCCTTGTCAAATACAGATCTAGTCTACAGTAATTTGAAATAGTTCCACTCAGAGCCACCATAGTCATTTGTTATTCCCTGCTCCTGACAAGAGAATTAGTCAGTGCTAAATGTGCAGGATTGCCAAAGGACACCTTCTTAGTAACTATTTTTTGTTGGTTATGATATGTCTAAAGATACAGAGATGAATGTGCATCTTCCCCTCCATGGATTCAGCACTGGGGTTAGTTGCTGATGTGGGACACACACATCATTTACTTTTTGTGGTATGTAATTAAAGGTTTTGAACCACTTTTCTGTTTTTTAAGAATACAGCACAAGCAGGATATCTGTGAATTTCATGTTGTTATGAAACTAAAATCTTGCCATTTTTTCTTGCCAAAAAAGGTGCCTTTAATGATGCAACAAAGCTTTTTCCCTACCCAGAACTAGTGGACTGTTTGTTTGATGCTTCCTTTTGGAAACACATTAGACAAATGTGCTATCTCTTTAATTGTGCTAATTACAAAGTGCTCTCTTAATTTGGCTAAAAGGAGCCAGTTAAGGATCTTTCCATGTTCCTAGATGGATGTTCTACCCCCAATTGAAAGATTAATGCCTGCCTTACTTGAGACTAATTTGTTGTTTGAGCAATAATGAAGTAACTCAAAGCTCTTTGTGGCTCCTTTAGGCAACTTGTCACAAAACATTTATTGCAGAACATTCCTCTTAAGTCTACTAGGGCTACTCTAACATGGATCACTATCTTCATTATTTGCTCAGTCTACCCGATGTTAAGCACTTTTAATTTCAGTCCCATTGATGTTAGTGGAGATAAAGACCATGTGATTCTGTGATTCTATGTTGGGCCAATTTACAAACCATGCTTTGCAAAGATGTACTCTCTCACACATCTTCTCTTGCCCTTCTCATGCCTGAATCCCCCTTTCTTTCCATGCTTTTCTGAAACCACAGTTTAGTGTTATAGTGGAACGGGCATGAATATGGTTAAAGCCAGCTAAGATTCCTTTGTAACCATGGCTTGAAGTGGATTATCAAACAAGAATGATGAAGGGCTCTTGGTTAGCTTTAACCATATTGGCAATAAAGTCAAAGTAATGCTGAAACATGGTTAAAGCACACAATGGAAAATGGGAGAAATTATTGTGCAAGGAAAATGGGAGGGGAGGAAGCATGGGTCTGCAGCTGTTACGTTTGAATGGAGCCAAAGTGTTGAGCGTATGGTTACATCGCCTATTAAAATCAATAGGAATGCTATACGTATGTCACATCATGAGTTGTGCCAGCTTCCTATTTGTCCTCTTCCTTGCTTGCACAGTGCAGCTGATACAGCCAACCATGAAGAGCTTTTTCCTTTGTTGGCTGCTAGGCAGCCCATGTCTAAACAGCCCCCATGGCTCATCCCCAGAAAGATGCTTAACAGAGGAGTTACAGGGGTGTGATGAGGGTATGACAATATTTTGTTGCTAGTTGTTACTCTGGGTTATTTTTCAGTGTAAAATAAATTTCTCCAAAAATAAAAAAGGCAGTAAAGCCAATAAGCAAAAACCACCAATAACTCTTCTTGACAATCTTTGCCATTTTTATTGTGAATAGTCCATCATCTATCATTGTATTTGGTTACAGTTTACAAACCCTTTACATATTGCCACATAGCTTAGACATATCAGTTGTAGCATGAGCTGGTTTCTGGTTTTCATGGTGAGATGAAAAGTCATTGGCAGTAGATTAGTCGATGAACGATGGCCAAACTTTGAGCCACTTCAGAAGTTTGCAGGAGCACGTTGTACAGTCAGACATTCCACAGTGCCATGTCAGACATGAATTTTGAGACAGAATCATAGAAATATAGTTGAGGGGACTATGAGGCTCATATATTTCAACCCTCTTTTGCCCAGCATGGGACTCAGACCCATGAGCCTGAGATTAAGAGTCTCATGTTCTACTGACTGAGCTGTCCCAGGTTCATCCCAGATAGGAGTGTTCCGTACAGCATGTCCCACTGAACACTAGACTCATATTTTAATGTCTAGAGACCAAAACAGAAAAACATATGGTAGGGCCATGTTGACTATGTGTAAGGCTTATTTTAGTTAAGTGTGTTCACTTTCTAATGAAGATGCCCCATCTTTGCAAACCAGATTTCAATTTTATTTGTTAGTATTATTTAGGGGTATGATGATGGCACCAATGATTATTGTTCATCAGCCTGGCCTATTGCAAATAAAGCAATGAATGGGTCGAGTCTACTATTAATATCAAAAGATGTATGCAGTGGAGCTAAACACTCTGGCATCTTACTTCCTTGCAGTCCTCTGGGTATAGGGCAGTATATAAATTCAATAATAATAATAATAATAATAATAATAATAATAATAATGTAATCCAGCTCAGAAAAAATGTGCCTAAAGTGATGGACCACCAGGAAGTAAGGTGGTGTGTCATCCCCAATGATATACTTCTTTTGATTTAATAATTGACTTCCTGACTCTGCTTTATTTGTTGTGAATGGGGCAGATTCTTGGAGCAAACCTACATGGTTCCCATCATTATGTCTAATTCAACTATAAAAGGTTATTTAAAAAACAGCTCCCCTGAAGTGTGTGTGCAGGCGCACACACATGCCATGAGTATGTTTATCCAGAAGGGCACTACAAAAATATTGTCAAGGTGCTCAAATATTTGACAATATATTTAATGTACTTTTGGAGCCGGTGTGCCATGTTCTTTGCTTTTGAAATTATTTCATGTTAGAAGGCTCTCTTCTTACCAAGCAATACTTGTCAGTCAATCTAATTGAAATGTCATGCTGACCTTTTATTTGAAACAGTTCTATTTCCTGACTTCATTTGGAAATTATTTTGCCTTTAATTCAAATTAAAATCTTAAAGCTACCAGGGTGCAGAAACCCTGTATGCTAATTAACTTTAAATGCAACGTATCTTTTACAGAAGTAATTCAACTGAGTCTGCCAGAAGATCAGAAAATAAGCATCACTGCAGCAACAGTAGGACAAAGTGCAGTTCTAAGTTGCGCCATTCAGGGGACCTTGAGACCTCCTATCATCTGGAAGCGGAACAATGTCGCTCTGAACAACTTAGATTTGGAAGACATCAATGTGAGTGATAAAGGACTCTCGAGCTACTTAATAGAGTCATTATAAAACCTTTGCCATACAAACTAGAGCAGTAGCATTTGTCAAACTGACAACCGCTCCTCAGTGTTGTTCCTCTTCTGACACATGAGTGACCTCCTGTTCAGGTCAAAGGGTCATGCTGGAAATGTCTCTTGAAATTAAGTGACAGCTTCCATTTTCAGATACTGAACAAAAATGCAAAATATAAATTCTTGCCCATTGGCAATAGAGATGATACAATTCTCCTATTTTTTTTAAAAAAGAGAGAGGAAGGAATGAGGTAAAGGATCGAGGCTAAAGAAACAAATGGATTCACCCCATAGAATCCAACAATACCTTATGTAATTCAAGAACTGGCTTGGCTATATTCTTGCTGGTACTTTGACTTTGTATGAGGTTCCATTGTTTGCGTGTAATTTCTGTCAGGTGAAAAGGGCATACCTTTATTATCCTGAGTGTTGCTAACAGTAAGTCATTACTCAACTAGGCAAGAAGGTGAAATGGTCAAAAAAATAACAAGATCTGACAATATACAGTGGTACCTTGGTTTTTGAATGTAATCCGTTCCGGAAGACCGTTTGACTTCTGAAACGTTTGAAAACCAAAGCATGCATTTCCGAAAGCATTTACGTCCAGAAAACTCAATATGGAAGCCATGTGGCACGTTCGGCTTCCAAAAAGTGTTCGGAAACCGAAGTAGTTCCTTCTGGGTTTTCGGCATTAGAAAGTCTAAACGTTCGACTTCTGAGACAATAGAAAACCAAGGTACTATTGTAATAAAGAACACCTTGTTAATTGTGATCAAGGTGCCTGATCAGTAGGGGGCTCGCTACCATTTGCTGGAGACTCCTGCTCCTCATCCTTTCCTGTCACTGCCTGTTTTCACCTTCCATCTCCAAGTGTGGTAACTTGTCAAATAATGCAATGGTCCAGATTTGGAGGAACCAATAGACTTGCAAGTTTGCCCACCTGACTGCTGGGAACAAGAATTGGAGCTCTTTGTTAAAAACCTGTTGATAAAAGGGTCATCATTGGATCCATAGTTTAAAAGGTTGGTGCATATTCTGGCATATTTCATAAAATATTTTCTTCCAGGAAGACTGAATAACAGCTGCCACATTATTAACTTTCTAAACTTTTTTGTAGTACCACCAGCTATTCTTACATTTGCAAGCTTATCTATGTAATAGTAATAGCAACAACAATCTTATTTTTTATGGAAACATAGCAGGATCCCAAGGGATGCACAAAACCTTTCCCTATCGGCTGCATTTTAGTCATGGAGCTGAGACATCAAAGGAGCTGAAGTAAACAATGTGAGATTCAGATCTCATACTGCAGTCTGTTTGGCCTGCCTAAACTTCACTCCATGGGGTCTCATGAATTGTTATGAGAGCTTGGAGAGAGATTAGAAATAGGCTCTGGTTGTATACACACCATGGAAGTTAGATTGCAAATGTGTTACAGCCTTTTTAGGCAAGGCTGAAAATGCTCCCATGCCTTCATGAAGCCTATTGTCTCATGTGAAAGGAGGGCATTTAGAAACATTTTGGGGGTGTGGGCTGGGAAAAAAAGTGTGTGTGTGTGTGTTACAATGAAGTGCCAGAGTTGTGGCCAGTCTCTCTTTTGCAAGGGAGTCTGCTGTGTCACAACTATCATGAAAAACCCTCATGAAATATATGAGAAATTTTACAGATCCCCCAGGATCCCAGCAATTTTCACCCCACCTAACCCCAGCTCAAAAAGCCGAAAAAAATCTTGGCAGAATATGCAATTTCTAGGTTGATGAAAATACACTGGGGAATGCGGCTCTATTTTTGTATATTGTTCATATAATACCAGGTCTTTAAGTATGTGTGTAGCTTTCATAACCTCCCATTCAGCAGAATGTTTATTACATTTGTTCATTAGCATCATTCTTGTTCTGTCTTGATGGCCAGCCTTAACTGCATAGTTCAGTCTTGTCAAGGAAGAAGCTGCTTAACTGATCTTTGGCCATAAAGGAGAAAAATAATTTCTGCTTTTAATAGCACATGCACTGAACAACTCAAAAGTTTGTGGTAAGGCATAAAGAGACCATTAAAAAAAGAGAAATTGATACATTTATTTTTGTTTGCTTTAAAATTATAATGCACTGATTTTCCCCCTTGCAACATATTCTTCCCATATTGCATATATATTTTCTTTATGGTGAGTTGGCACTTGCATGGGGTTTTTGCACCCAGCTGCCCCATAAAGTAGGATATCTATCTGAATCCTACCAAATTTCAGAAGGATTAGCTATGGTAGCTTTCCCACAAATACAGCCTTTATACTGTTGAGGTGAATTGAAAAAAACAAAATTGTTTATTCTCCCCATGTGTTTTGTGGGCGTTTGGTTTGAGAAGGTGTCCCTAAGTAGGAAGCTTGCCAAATTTCACAGTGATAGGCCCAGCTGTGTTTGTTCTGGGCATGTTTAAAATTTTCTTTTGGAGGTGGGATTTACCTACCTCCCTGTGGCTTTGTTTTTGAATATGATTCAGTGGCATTATGTAGATGCCGCCAGGTGGTAAAATCACAGAGCAGCAAGATTTGAGGAGTAGGCTGGTGTGGATATTGGAAAATTCGATCTTGTGCATCCATACCTCTCTCACCTCATACCCTCCAAGCTGATTCTTGGGGAGTGAGAGGGGGGCTTCTCATTCACATTTTGTCCTTCATGTGTACATTAGGATAAATTCATTCTAAAATGTTGGTGAATTTTCATGACGATTTTCATTTTTTAAAAAAAAACAAAAACAAAATAATACAAACTGAAGTGGAAATGTGGAAAACAAAATTTAAGAATGGAATATGAGAAACCAACAAAATTTAAGAATGGAATATGAGAAACCAAAATCAAGATGTTCATCCATCCCTACCTTCTCAGGTATTCACCATCCATTTCCTACTCTAATGAATAGCAAAGCCTTCACTGATTTACTAGATCTGGATTTTACCAGTTACACATAGGCAGAAATTTCAGTATAGCGATTCATGCTTAAAGTAAAACCCTGTGCATGTTTACTCATGAGTAAATCCCAGTGATTTAAAAGTGACTTTGAAAGCAATTCAAACCCTGATCTGCCGTGTGGAATGAGTTTTGCTGTGAAAGAGCTGTCCCTCCACCAGACTCTGTTGGTGGATGCCTTGCTGCCACCAGAGGTCCCAGCTGTGCCCACCAAAATCATAGATGTTTAGAAGCTAATGCTGGTGACATCCCCGCCACAGGGCATTCCAGGTTGGGGAGGGTGTGAAGTTGGGGTGAGCAAGGGCCTAATGGATCTTCAGCTAGTAAAGGGTGGTGATGGGCTACATCCTAGTCTTTGCTGTGCAATCCGGGAGCTGGTGCAGCAAAAGAAATGACAAAACCATCCCGTTCACCTTTAACCATGGCTGGTACTGGTAGCAGTGAATGCCATGCTGGCTCCTAGCTGAGAGTTAGCATAACTCCCTTACTCCCTGGTAAATATGCATAGGATTGCAGCCTTGATGTTGGTCAGTTAGATTTTAATATAGTTCAGGTTGCAATCTGAAACACACTAATTGAACGCACTGGGATTTACTTCTGAGTAAACATGCATATAATTGTCTAGGCGCAGGTGCAATAATTACAGACTAGAAAGGTGGATTTCAATGCATTCTTATGAGCTGAGGGTATTTTAATCTGCTTTAGTGTTTGTGAACAGATGACAAAGGGCTTCAGTTAATCAGGATGAATTGAAGCGAACTTCAGTGGTGTTGTATGTACAATATAGGTGTGACACTGTCAAGGTGTGCAGCTGAGCTGCCTCTTTTACATGTGGTTATA